ACAGTCAAACAAATACATGGTCCATGATGTGTGCGAAAAGATTGCGTGAAGGATTGATGCCGAAGCGTTTGTTACAACTCGATCAACAACCACAAACAAATTCAACAATGGCTTTGTATAGAGGGACGAGACCTCGGGTCTCCTACACGTAATCGTGGAGTGTACACGAAGGAGTTCCCTTCGAGCTATGTTAGCTGCCCTCTGACATTGTTGAGAGGGTTTGACGTCGTGGGGTATAATCACTCCCAAGTCCTTAACTTTTCTCTCTTAAGCTGGATTACATTCTGTGTATCAAGTTCAGCTTCTGCTGTTAGAAGCTGACACTTAGCTAGGTTGAGCAGAAGATTCCACTTTTCGGACCACCGTATAACAGCCTGCATGCCTTGACATACGTTCATTCCCGCCACTTTGAAGTCGTCCGCGAACATAAAGCAGGGTGTGTTGATTCCCCATGGCAGATCGTTGACGAACATCAGGAATAGCAGTGGGCCTAGCACAGAACCCTGAGGGACAACGACAGTCATGTTGGCCGGCTCCGACAAGTGCATACCAACCTTGACCTGGAAGGTGTGGTTAGTTATAAAGCAGTAGACCCACTTCCTAACTTTCCCCCGCAAATCCTAATAATCGCATTTTTTGGTCTAACCCCTGATGACTTACTGAGTCAAAAGCTTTGCTAAAGTCCAGGTAACAGACCTCGACGTGTTGTCCCTCGTCCAAGCGTCGTNCAGCCTGCAGGTCCTGATATACGTTCGTTTCCGCCACTTTGAAGTCGTCCGCGAACATAAAGCACGGGTTGTTAATTTCCCGTGGCAGATCGTTGACGAACATCAGGAATAGCAGTGGGCCTAGCACAGAACCCTGAGGGACAACGACNTAGCCCATGCCCTACGAGGTACGCAGCCATATGCTTGCGTACAATCCTTTCTAGGCATTTGCATAGGACCGACGTCAGACTTACTCGTCTGTAGTTTTTAACCTTTTGCTTTGACCCAGATATATGCAGAGCAACTACCGTCGCTCTTTTCCAATCTCCCGGCATCTCGCCTTTATCTAGAGATGTCTGAAACACCTTTGACCGAGGCCCTTGGAGCATCTCAACTAGAGGTTTAACAATAGCGGGATGCCATCCGGTCCCGCTCCCTTGGACTTATTCAGGGTAGCTAACCCGTGAAGGACTTCGTCTGGTGTCACAGTGATTTCAGTCAGCTGTGATGTCTCACTGGGATAATCTGTCATAACCAACGGTGTTGGATGTCTGTACACCCCCTTAAAGAAAGCCAGAAGGGTATTTGCTTGTCTTCCCAACTTAGGGTAAGACTTCCATCACTGCTTCCTAACGTTCCAATCCCCTCTCTTGATGGCTTTTCAGATTGGACGTAAGCATAGAACCTGCTTGGGTTCTGTTTTGCTTTTATCGCAAGCCCATACTCATAGTCGTACCTGGCCCTTCACTGCATAGCCTGCGCATGGTTTCTTGCTGCCTTGTAGCTACATCATACTTGATACGAACTGAGCCGTTTGCAAAGCGCCCACTTTCGACTCCTTGTGGCCAGAATCCTGTCTAAGCATGGCGGCCGTTGTTTGAGTCTCCTAGGCGTTAGGGGTAAAAATTCTTCGGTGAGCTTCAGCAAACTATCTTTAATTGCATGCCGTCTCTCTTCGATGGTAGGATCAGCTGTTGACGATTCCCAGATTAAACCTAACGCTGCCTCTCGAAGACTCTATTCTTGAACATTCCCATACAAGCGAACCATTTCGATTCCTGGCTTAGTGTACTGTACCAGTACTTTTGGCTGTAGGACCGCATGGTCGCTTCTGTCTAGGGGGACCTCTATCCTGAGACTGACGACACCTGACCTTGCTCGAGAAATAGCTAAGTCAAAGATTGAGGACCTCTGGCTGAAACGGAACCGAGTGGGTTCCCTTTACATGCTGCTCAAGCGCATGCAAATGAATCAATTTCAGTAGTGCTCGTTCTTCTTCCCAAGCTATTTCAGGAAGGTTTAGATCACCCACGATGAGAAACCTATAGGCCCTTCGGAGCACCTCCTGTAGGGTACGCATTAGTTCATTATCCTCATTCACCGTTGAGTTTGGTGCCCCATAAACGCAGACAATGCCTATTGGTCCCGATTCAACACTTAAGTGGCAAGCAGTAACCAGATTATTGGGATTAGGTAACTGTAGTGGCCACCCCCATTGGTGACAGGTAGTTCTCATAGCTAAGAGTACTCCGCCCCCTTGCCTCCCGTCTACTTTATCCTGTCTATATTCGGTATACTCCTGTCGAACCAGAACTATATCTTCACACTTGAGCCAAGCCTTAGTGACAGCAACGACATCTGCTTCTGCTGTCTTAGTCTTTAGCTCCACCATTTGTCCCGGAGGCTGCAGGCATTTGTATACCAGACAGCCACATCAAGGGACCTGAGCTTTATTTCGCTCGGGTAATTTCTTGTTGGGGTGCCCTCGGGCATAATACCCGAGGGAGAGTTAAGTTTCTTGCTTAAAGGGGGGGGGGTGATTTCGGAGTCACCTTCACATCCCATTTAATGCTATCAATCCTAATTCGGATGTCTTCAACGCTGAAATTGTACTTCACTCCCTCTTCTGAGGGAGACGACGACTGACCTTTTACTAGTACATCTTGCACTGATAGCCTTACCCTTGTTGTCGACGTATTTGCAACGACAGTTGCCCAGCTGTCCGACCTAGGGCTTTGAGTGCTTAGAATGGTTTTCTTCACCAAGGCGGGTGCGATATTCTATCGGAGCATCGTTTCTTTTGAACACTGATAGCCCTTCTTTGGCTCATTGCTAATAGTGGCGCCTCTCAGTTGGCCCACCCCTGGCACTTTTGCAATTTTGGGCGTAGAGCTGCCTAGCGGAGCCCTATTTACTCTTTGTATTTATATAGTTGGCCCAGTAGCGGGCACGACCAATGGCACTGGAGTCTTTTTTACCCCCGACCACTCGAGGCGTTTGTGGGCCCGAGACTGGTGTAGCCCTGGGTGCTTGGGTGCCAGAGTCAGGTGTGACTTTCACACGACCGCCGGTGACGATATCTGCCCTCACGGTACTTGATACCACGGCGTCTCTTAGGTACATACTGGGAAAGGTTACTAACAGCGGCCTTGGACCAACTGCTTTAACTCCATCCTATGATCCAATGCCGTGGCACTTGACAATTAGAGTGCTTGCTGGCATCCCAATCTGTGGTGATCGTACAAGTAGTAGTAGTGAAATTACGCACAGAATTCAGGACACGAACTACGCAATAGGAATCACGGAACACGAATTAGAAAACCAGTAGTACTGGACCGTAATGTCTTGAACTCGCAATAACCCACAGGATCGAGACGCGAGGAAAAAGGCCACAAGACAGGCGAATCAAAAAGTCGTTTATTGAAGGAAATGATAGTGAATATATGTGCACAAGAGAAGATCATTGGCTACCTTAGTTTCCACCAATCATATTGCATCACATCTTGCGTCATACTGCTTTTCTCTGTATTGTATCTGATTGGCTGGAACGGTCCACCAATGACATGTATCCGGAGGCTGTGCACGTGCTACTGGCGTCAGCGCTCAAGGCCGATTGACTATCAATGTCCGGAAACTGTACAGCGCTGCTCCAGGGCAGGCGTAATCTCGTAGATTCGAATCACCACACAGTCATTCTGAATATGTCATGGAGGCTGCGCCTATCAGATTCCTTTCTCGCCCTACTTCGCAAATATATGGCTCACTTAAATTATGGAAGACTCGGTTCCGCGTCCTACCTAACATCATTTGAGTGGAATTTTTCAACATGGATAGTTTTTCTTTCGAAAACTTCCATTTGCGAAATTAAGGCTGCAATCTCTCCAGATGCTGTAACTTCCTTTTGAGCAGTTTGCCCCCCTTCCGTCTTCAACCTACTTTCTACCGACTCGGTTGGCTTACCACTATTGCTCTGAATACCCTTGTTCTTTTTCGACGTATTTGTGCTCTTTAGCTGCATCGTAGGGGTTAACCCCTCAGCAGCAACGATACCCTGTACCAGGCGAGAGCACTTAAGCGCGAACGCCTCGAACTGGTCACACCCACTTCAGATTCGTGTTCTGAAGGTGTGTGAAGTACTCTCTCTGCTAAAAGTGATCACTTTTGGTGGTATCACTTTTAGCACCTATTGCACTGAATGCCGCCTGCTATATACAGATTGCAACCAGTGCTACCACAATGACTATCTCTCTGTGAGGACATCATTGATAAACGTGCGAAAATTTCAAAAATACGGTCGAGAAAAGCGGATAAACGGGTAAAATAGATAAAAACGCTTTGGGAACAGAATTATAAAAAACTAAAAAAAGACTCAGATACAAATTTTCTGAACCGCAACAGGGTTCAATACTTTGTATAGTAAACACTAAAATGTTTAGTGCTAAAAGTGTGAAATATCAACAGCTATTTCACTAGTATTCAATCAAAATTTTTTTATACCGAGAGCAATTCAAAAATTCAAACCACGCGCGAACGTACCGCAAATCAGTCGCTATGCGCTCTTTGACAGGGCACTGTAAATAACCACGATCGAGAAAACGCGGAAAACAAACTTGCAAAAACTCCTGAATTGTCAATTTATGACAATTGAACTTGACCTTTACGATTGAAGCAATAAGCGAATCAGAGCACGTCAGTTCAGATTAGTTCAGATCAGGTCAGGTCAGGTGGCACAGGACGATAAAGGTTTTTGCCAACCGAGCGTCGGCGAGTCACTGATCACTAGGTTTAAAGTTCTCGCGGACCAAAATTCCCAGATCCAGCATTCGGTTTACACGAGCGAAGACCGTCGGTTCAATGGTCGTAGCCAATCAAACCGGAAGCCGTACGGTATTTAGGACGTGACATTTGGTGGCGTTTAGCTCCAAATCCCACTTCTGTGTCCACCGGACCACCTTAGCCAGATCACCCTCCAATTGATCTACAGGTCCTGAGTTCACTAGTTTTACTTCCTCGGCAAAGATGACGGCAGGAACCGCTAGCTCCTGAACCAAGTCATTTATAAATAGCAGAAAGAGCATCGGGCCCTAAGGCACTCCGCTGGATACGCTGTCAACGCCTGACAGAGCTTCTCCCACTCGAACTCTATAGGTCCGGTTGGTGAGGAAAGCTTCTATCCTTCTAACTAGAGCTGTTGGAAGAGCAAAACCCTTGAGTTTTACTAGCAGGAACCGGTGATTTACAAAGTCAAGAGCTTCCCTGAAGTCCAGGTAGCACACTTCGACTTTCTGACCTTCATCTAATATCTTTTTAACTTCGTCCAAGAAACAAAGAAGGTTGCTCGGACACGACCTCTTTTTGAGGAAGCCGTGCTGGGCTGAGATAATCAACCTATGTCGAGTGACGTGCTCACAGAGAGCATTTCTAACAATGGTTTCTAAGTCCTTATACAGCACGCTGTTCAAGCTTATGAGTCTGTAGTTACCAGGTTGCTTTCTATCTACACTCTTGTGGATGGCTACTACTGTGGCAGTCGCCGAATCACTAGGTACTCTCCCAGCCGTTAGGGACTCCTAGTAGAGTACGGTTATCGCAGGAACGAGCACAGGAGCTAGTGGTTTGATGATGACCGTCGTTGCCAGCGGACTTGTTTACATTCAAGCCCTCCATGACATCAAGAATACTACTAACTAAAACTTCCACAGCCCCCTTTGGAAGGATGTCTAAAGCTCTCATGGGACCGCACGCTCATCGTCTACTTTATAGACGGTTTCGAAATACCTCCTAAACGTCTCACATTTTTCTTAATCTGAGATAGACAGCCCACCTCCGGGGTTCTCCAGAGTGCCTACCGATTGTCTTAGTGCAGCTTTTGATTGCACATAGTCTAATAATAATAATAATAATACCGGTATATTTCGCGAAGCCCGCAAAGCATGCTAGTGCGCATGATCAAAATGTAGAACAATATGAAACGTGAAAAGTGGAAAGCAAAAAGTAATAGTACAAAGAGT